TCATGTGGGTAGTGGCCCTGTTTTCCTGTGGTCAAATCAGGTGCTTAAAAATATTTGAGGTCCTCAGAGGCTCAATACTTGTACAGTCTTACAGATAGTACAAAAGGCAGATTTTATGTATTTTAAACACTTTTCTTGATTCTAAAAATTTCCCTGCAAGGTAGACAGTATCATCCCATCATATTTGGATACCTGGAAGAAAAGCACGGGGCAGTGACTTGTTTGTTCAAGGCTACACAGCAAAGGAAATTGCATCAGAGAATAAAGTAAAGTTTCATTACTTGGAGACTCTTAACTTGATCTGGTTTTGCTTCAGAATCAGGTAAACACATACATTTGGGGTGACTGGGCCCTATGACCTGGTAAAAGAAGAGTAATCAGTGCTAATAAGTGATACTTTCACCTTACACTATGGTGGCGGATGACAGCTATAATCAGTGTTTGATTTTTTTATCTTTTGGAGGATTGCTGGGGATGAGGCAAACCAAAATATTCTTGAGATGAAATCTGATGTTTCAAGAAAATGTCCATAAACACATGAAAAGAAGTATGTTCATGTCACTTGTAATAAGAGAAATGCAACGAAAAGTACCTTGAGATAACACTTCTCCCTTATCTGACAGAATCAAGTCAGGCTTAGAGAAACTATCATATATAGTCGTGGTGGGATACAAAATGCCACTATTGACTAGGTGCAGTGGTGTATGCCTGTAATCCCAGCTACTTGGGAGGCTGAGTTAGAAGATTTTAAGTTTAATGCCAGACTCTGCAATTTAGTGAGACACTGTCCCAAAATTAAAAGATAGAAAGGGCTGGGGATATAACTCAGTTAGTAGAGCACCCCTGGATTCAATCTTCAGTTGAGGTGGGGGCTTAAGGGGGACAAAGAGGTGTCTCTCTCTCTCTCTCTCTCTCTCTCTCTCTCTCTCTCTCTGGAAGAGAATTTATCAATACCTAGCAATGTTGCTAAAAATGATATAGCAATGCTAGCAATCCCACTTCTGGGAATTTCAAAGATATGAGCAAAATTATGAAAAGATGTTCACAAAGGACTATTAATTGAAGCACTAGTTGCAATAATTAGCTCTGGCATCTTAACACATTGTTATGGGTCCATGGGAAGAAGTGGAAATAAAAATATGCTTTGTTGGGCTGGGGATGTGGCTCAAGCAGAAGCGCGCTTGCCTGGCATGCATGCAGCCTGGGTTCAATCCTCAGCACCACATACAAACAAAGATGTTGGGTCCGCCAAAAACTAAAAAATACGTATTAAAAAATTCTCTCTCTCAAAAAAAAGAAAGAAAATATGCTTTGTTGGGCTGGGGATAGAGCTCAGTTGGTAGCACGCTTGCCTCACATGCACAAGGCCCTGGGTTCAATACCCCAGCACAACACACACACACACACACACACACACACCCCAAAAAAAAAAAAAAGAAAAAGAAAATATACTTTGCTACTGGCCTACTGACCAAGGCAAATCCTATGGCCAAGCCTACAGGGAAATGATAGTTATAGGTAGATAGCATTAATTCAGAAAGGGTATTAATTTAGATTATTAATGCAATAGTTAGCCACAGAGAACTTACTAGTCTGCTTGTCCTTCATACAGCATGATTCATAGATTTACCATCCTGGTTAGCCAAATAAAATACACTTTTTTTTTTTTTTTTTTTTTTTTAGTGGTACTGGAGATTGAACCCAGGGCCTTGTACATGTGAGGCAAGAACTCTACCAACTGAGCTAGATCCCCAGCCCTAGAATAAACTCTTAAGTTAGCAATATTATTTCCTAAATTGTATAAATCCAATATTTCAGTATACATTAATTCCCAATTATTTTTGGGAATATGAACACTCACCATTCTACCTGTGCAGTAAAAAATTTGAAGGTAGTGATATGTTGATGAGGCTAACTCTTGACATCAAGAATGGCTATGCAGGGGCTGGGGATGTGGCTCAAGCGGTAGCGCGCTCGCCTGGCATGCGTGCGGCCCAGGTTCGATCCTCAGCACCACATACCAACAAAGATGTTGTGTCCGCCGAGAACTAAAAAATAATAAATATTAAAAATTCTCTCTCTCTCTCCTCTCTCTCT